ATCATCTTTTTTGCAATTCATTCATTGACATACTTGCATATAGTTGATAGTTCTATTTTAGTATTCAGTGTATATTGGCTTGTTGTGACCTGTTCAATTTCTGTGGTATAACTTGATATCCTCTAACTATTCTTTACTCCTGCCTTTTCTCATCATCATCATCTTTTTTGCAATTCATTCATTTACTTATTTGTTTTTAATTTTATAAAACTGTTAGAAAAAAGAGAAGGACAAAAAAGAAGCTGCACCTGAAAAGAAGAAACCACTTGAAACAGAAACAACGGATAAAGAAAAGGAAGTTAGCGTTAGTTTGTTGAATATACGTGTTGGGCTTATTCGAAAAGCGTGGAAACATCCATCTGCTGACAGGTATGGTCAGCAATCTTCCTTCCATGTACTGCTTTCTGCGATAGGATTATTTACGTTGATCTATTGAAGTTCATTATTCTCCTCTGAGCTTAAATTTGTATCAATCATACTGTGGTGATGATGGTTAATGATCCAGTTTGCTGGTTGAGGAGATAGATGTTGGAGAGGCCAATGTGCGACAGGTTGTCAGTGGTCTGGCAAAGTTCTGTAGTCCAGAGGAATTGACGGTATAGTTACATTTACATGTTGGTCATGAGGAACTTCTAATGGATCCGCTGTACAAACAGAATTCAAAGTTTGATGTATTATTAATCTGTGCAGAACCGACACGTTGTTCTTATTACTAATGTAAAACCCGGAAAGCTACGAGATGTGATGTCCCAGGGATTGGTATTTTCTTTTTCCTTGGCAGTCTGTTTTTTTTTTTTTTTTTTGGACATACCATAATTGATTATTTTTATCTTTTTTAGGCTCCTGTACTTTACTGTGACGCATATGGATTAATATGAAGTTGCCTTTCATTTTATATGTGAATACACCAAATTCTTAGCACTATTTCTCTAGTTCTGGTCTCGTTTCAGTTATTTCTTCTTACATTTTTAATGTGGACTTTGGATGTTTCATATGTTGTGTGGAAGTTGAGTTGAAATGCTCACTTGTACATGGTTTCATAAATCCCTCTCTCAGGTGTTATGTGCGTCTAATGAAGATCACACCATCGTAGAGCCTTTGCTTCCTCCTGAAGGAGCCAAAATTGGTGAACAAATTTCATTTGCAGGGTTAGTTTTTCAGAGACAACTCAATTTAACTGCATTACCTGACTTGCACCTCTATGAATTTTTGTGTAGAGTAGCTGTTTATATATATTATACCCTAGAAGATGTTTCAAGAATCCTTTTCTTATTCAAAAGGGGGGGAAATTAGGTCTTGTCCTTGGTAAACGTAAATTCCCCCTTTGTTTTCAGGATTATGTAAATCCTCGATTCATATAAACATTGGTTGGCATTCCTTCGGTGTATTATTGAGTATCTGACTGTTTTTCTTGGTTGTTTTATAATTAATCTCTATTTGAATTGGGTCTCTGCTGTTATGTGGTGTATTGATTATCTCGTAATTTGATTTAGGGTTGATGGGAAGCCAGAAGATGTTCTCAACCCCAAAAAGAAACAATTGGATAAGATAACACCGGTACGTCCACTTTTAACCTTCCCTGTCCAAATAGGTTCAAAATTTTCAGGATGATGCAAATAATAATAATAATAATAATAATAATAAAAGAAAAAAAGAAAAACCGTTTTAAATGTCAAGGTCATAAAGTGGATGTTTTTTGAACAAAATAGGCAAGATTGAACACTTACCTTTTATTCTCTGGCTAAAGGGTCGTGGATTGTTGTGCCTTCTTAAATTGCATGCATTTAAACGTAAGAAGGGCGATTCAAAGGTCTTGTGTTGGGCAAACGAAATGAAAGCAGCAGCCAGTGTATTTGGAATAACTTTTGTAAAAAATGATTTTTAAATAATTTTTTTTAAAGAAAATAATAATCAATTTAACTTAATGATAAGTACTTTAAAAATTGAATTAGTTTTAAATGTTGTCACTTTTAAATGTTGTGGATCCACTAAACGCACTTTTTATCTTGCTCTCCCAGCTGTAATCTATGCCTACTCACATCCTTCATTTTGCACCTATTATACTCAAATGGTTGTTATTTGGATGGATTCAGCATCTTTTCACAGACGACAAGGGCGTGGCGATGTATAAAGGAATACCGTTCATGACATCTGCAGGAGCGTGCACGTCGTCGATCCCGAAGGCAAGCATCAAATGATTGCAGCATAGCCATGGTAGAGGAGAGCTTCACAGCCAGAAGGATCCCTGAACACTGCGTTACTTGGCGAACCAAACAGAGTCACTTTTGAAGAGGTTTGGCACTGGTTCATCAAATCAAATGGGCCTTCATAATTTCAGGTAAATGTATCGTTGTTGTTCTTTTTGGTCTTAAAAATGACATTTTCTGATTTGAATTTTATGATATTTAGAATTGACATTATGTTCGTATGATTTTAAAGGGTCACATTTTTGTTTTAGATAAATCTCAATCTCCCAACAACCATATTTTGTTTATGTAACTTCGAATTACCCGTAAATATAATTTCAATTTCAATTAATCTGTGTTTTTTAACGTGTTTGGTAGCAGATTTAGAATTTGGTTCTCAATTTAATTTCAATTGTTTATATTTATAAGCCATGAAAATAGTTGGTCGAATCTGTATTAGGCAGTAGTATAAAAGTGGGTTTGGAAATTTTTTTAAAAAACCTACATTTTCTGAAGGTGATTTTTGGTCACACAATTTGACTAAATGTGACTTTTAATAATTTAGTACTTCAAAAAATCATTTTTAAAAAAATCAAACATTCATTATTAAAAAAGAAAGCATTTATAATTACAAAGTGAACCAAATGCAATAATGATTCATCAGTTTGGGCTAAAATAAGAAGCTCAAAAAAAGCACTCGAAATTATGACAAAGTCACAACTTTAATTAATTAATTAATTATATAGTGATTGAATTGGGTTGACTGAAATGAAAAGACTGTTTGGGTAATGGAATAGGGTACTCTGTCCAAGATTCCCTTAACTCTAAACCTGTTTTGTTTAGGTTTGACTTTACCAAACTCTGCTCCCAAAAATCATTCCGTATCTTAAATCAAATAAAATCCACAAAACATATCCCTTTCTTTGGATTTTAGATTCACCCAATCACTTCCTTCAATTTTTTCAATTTTTTTAAATAATAATAATAATATTAGAGTTAGAAACTTCTCACATAAATGCTATTAAAATCATGAGGTTGACGGCTATACAAAATAGACCATAATATCTATTAGTGAGAGCTTTAACGGTTATATACTAAAATAAAAAACTTTTAAAGAAAAACATCAAATCTCAATCGGTATCTCACTCTCCATCTCTCTCAATTCCTAAGCAAACAAAGCAAACAATTAGTTAAAAGGTATTGGCCACACCTACATAACCCCATCATAGCTATCTGTTTGGAGGGGAGGAAGTTCTTGAGATCATAGGCCAATGTGATTGGATTGTAGAAGAAGAGAAAAAAAGAACAAATATTGGAAGGGCATGGGCATCTTAGAAATCCAACCTATTACATGGGTGTGAAAGTTACCTCTATTTTCAGCACATTTGATACCTTTCTACATGTGATGTTATTACCAAATGAATGGGGAATGTGAATCTCCACTTGATGATAATCTCCGACTTTCAAAACGATATCAATGTGCTTATAGTATCGTTTACACTTTGATCTCTAAATTATTCCGAAATCATAAATTTGGTACATTGTACCCATTTTCACCGTAAAAAACACTTTCGATTTTATCAACTTCGAAAATACTTGGTCAAATACGACAACTTATAAGAAAAATAAATAGGAAATTTAGAAGTATCTAATAAAATCATAAATTTGTGGATGTATTGAAAAAAGTGAGAGAGAGAGAGAGAGAAAGAGAAAAAGGTAATGTAATGGGGAAAAAATTTAAGGTTGGAAGGTGTCAAAAAGATTTGAACACTGTTTGGTTCTGCCAAATCATTAATATTCGTTTGTGTGATGGCTTCGTCATGGTGGCTTTGCAGAAACAATAAAATCAACATAGGTCTGAGCCGCTCTTTAGACATACAAATAATGATATCATTTTCACAGTCATGAGATTGAATCAAATCTCCACCCTTACCCACAAAGGATCTCCAAAGATTCTCCCTCTCCCTCTCCCTCCATGCTCTCTACATCCATGTTTTCTACGTGTTAAAGGCTTGGATACCTTTCTCGTCCTTCATTCCGTTTCAATTTATAATCTCGACTATACGTTTTTAATTCCCTTCTTTCTCTTGGTCTCATTTTCAATATCGAGAATAGGGTTCTTGTAATAGTGCCAAGTTCTAGTAGTATGACGACTTATCTTAAACTTTGACCCTACGGTTTTAACTTTTAGGGTTCTGGTAATAATGTTCTAAGTTCTAGTAGCATGAGCGTAAAATCTCACATCAGTTGAAAAGTGAAACGAAATATTTCTCATAAGGGTGTGAAAACCTCACTTTAGTACACGCATTTTAAAACCATGAAACTTATGACAATATGTAACGAGCTAAAGTGGATAATATCTACTAGTGGTGGGATTTGGTTGTTATAACGAGTATTTCTCCTAATCTCTAACTATAGGGTTTTAATTCTCTTCTTTGCCTCGACCTTGTTTTGAATATCGAAATTAGGGCATGAGGACTTTTCATGGACTTTGATCGTTGGATTTTTATTGAAATTCGGGCTCTCGCAATAGTGTCGAGTTTTAATAGTATGATGAGTTCTCCTGACCTCTAACTTGCCTCGAGCTTGTTTTGAATATCGGAGTTCGGGTTTGTTAAAACGATACCAAGATCACTAAGAGGGTTACAAAAATCACATAGAAAAAGGAAAGAAGAATCTCCAGAACTACACCAAACATTTGGCATTAGTTATGGTTTGGGTTACACTCATTTAATCCTATAAATACCCAACAAACAACTCACACAATTCAATTCATCTCTCTCTTGTGACTTTCTGATTCTCTTACGTTTCTTTCTTGCTCTGACAACCTCGTTTTCCTCTCTCTCTCTCTCTCTCTCTCTCTCTCTCTATTTCTAACCCTAAATTTAATTTCCTCTCTATTGCAACCCTTCCATGGAGGCTGCCGGTTCGTCTTCTTCTCAAAATGGGTACCAACCCCATGTTCTTGCTGTTGATGATAATCTCGTTGATCGTAAACTCGTTGAGAAATTGCTCAAAAACTCCTCTTTTAAAGGTAAAAATACAAAAGTTTTCATTTTTTTTCATTGAAAACAGAATTTGAGAATCTGGGCAAGAAAAAAAAAGCAATCTTTTTGTTTGTTTGGTTGTTTGTTTGTTTGTTTGTGCAGTGACAACAGCAGAAAATGGTCGCAGTGCTCTGGAGTTTCTGGGTTTGTTGGATGAACACGAACATGAACACAACAACATAGAATGCGTTGGTGTAAGTTAAAGATTGTGTTTGGTTGGTGAGAAAACGAAGGAAAATCCCCCAGAAAATTGGAGATGTTTTAATGGAATCTTTGTCGTGTTATTGCAGAGGTCGAAGGTGAACATGATCATCACGGATTACTGCATGCCCGGAATGTCCGGATACGAACTTCTCAAGAAAATCAAGGTTCCATTTTTTTTTTTTAATTCTTTCTTAAATTTATAGAAAAAAAAAAAAAAAAAAAAAACTTGTTTGTGTTGCAGAGATGTTCGAGGATGAAGGAAGTTCCTGTAGTGGTGGTGTCATCAGAGAATGTGCCCACTCGCATCAACAAGTTAGTTAATTTAGTTAATTTAGTTAATTTAGTTAATTTAAATCCATCCATCTTTATCCATACTATTATACTTTTTAAAAAATTAATAAAAATAATTAATTGGTTAGGTGTTTGGAGGAAGGAGCAGAGATGTTCATGCTCAAACCTTTGAAGCAATCTGATGTGGTGAAGCTCAAGTGCCANTGAACCGTTTTTTTTTTTTTTTTTTTTTTTTTTTTTTTTTAATTTTTAGTTGAAGCATTTGAAATGGCTTAGGATATTAGTTGCATCCAGCTCTCGTGTTTTTTTTTTCTTTTTTGTCCAATGGATTTTAATTCCAATAATTTTGATCTGTATGTACATCTAATCTTTTCTGTTATTATTTTTAGTTTATAAAAAAAATTAAAACATAGATTTTTTTTTTTAATTTATTAAGTTCCTCAACTTTTTATGTTAAATAAATTTTTATGAATGTCTAAAAATTTAATAAAATTATTAATAGGTTTTGTAATCTTAATTTTCAAAAATAGATTTAAAAAAAATTATCAAAATATTTGAATTGAGAAAGAATATCTTCTTGAAAGGTTTGTAGTAAGATTTTGTTTGTCTTTTTTTCTTACCACGGGTAAATTCAACGTCCGAATGAGTTATAACTCAATTCAGCTATATATCTCGGGTTGTTAATTTTTTTTTTAGTATTTTAAAAAAATTATAAACATCGTTAAATGTAAATAAATAATTTGTATCTTTAAAGTAAATAAGGGTTAGATTGAATTGGATTAGGATACTCTCACAAGTTGAATTGAATTTTTGTTTTATAATCTGACCAAACCGTCTGTGTTGGTAAGCTTAATTTGTTTTTTTTTTTTTGTTTAAAGTAAATAAAGAAAAATAAAAGTTAATGTAAAATTTATAATATATATTGATTATTAATTTTTTGATTTGAAACAAACTTTTAAGTAGTTACCAAAATTAATTTAGGGATATAAATTGTTTTTATTTTTTAATTTTTTGTAAAATGGTCTGATTTGGTAATTTAGAAAAAAAAAAAAAAAAAAGAAAAAGAAAAAGAAAGAAAGAATTCCATCTGATGTAATCGACGTTACCTGTTATCTTCTTCTGTCTGTGATTCCCAAGCTTCTTACGACAACACTTCACAAAACCTTCCAAAGCTTCTCTTTGTTTCAATGGAGACGCCATTGCTCGACCTTTCTTCCCGCAACGCATTTTTTACGCCCAAGAATTATTCATTATACTACACAAAGCCTTCCAAATTAACCAATCTCAGCCTCTGTTGTCCCGATAAACCCACCACTTCCCATCGCCGGTTCTGCGCCGATGAATCGCCGCCTCCGATTCTTGAAGACACTGACGTAGTTCTAGATTTGGTCACTGAAAAAACCCCGAACCGCCGAAGGATTGTTCGACTTGCCTGGGAGAAGTTGGTGCGGTGGTCCAGGTCTTGGCGATTCAAGGCAAAGACCGACGTTCTTGAGCGCACGAACAAGGTGGGTTGTAATCCGCTCCTCTTCTTTTTCCTAATTTTATCTTTTTGTAGCCTGTTGAAGATGTGGGTTGATCTTTTGGAGGATTAGTCTTGCGTGATTTGGTAATGTGACTTCAACCTGTTTGATAAAATGCCGCAGAGAAGTTTGTTGTAGCATCTTGTTTTTTCTTTACTTTTTATTCAATTTGTTACCGAAATCCCTTGTTTTTCACTGTAATCACCTCATTGTACTCTCTTGTAAGTTATAATATGAACGAGGCCCCTTGTATGGCTTTGTTTTTCCTCTTTGGGTCTGGAGAATTATGACTATTGTTAGTCTGGGAAATGATAACCCCTAGAAAACGAATCAACACCATATTACTTGAAATTCGGCTTCAAAATAAGTATATTAGTCGATGTGTCTTGAACCCAGTTAATTATCAGCAAAAGCTTAAACATTCCATTCGTCATCAAGGTCCAGGCAGGACTATGCTGAACTTGAAATAGTACATCTTATGTTTCGGGAGACAGTTTATTCACTGATATTTGTTTATAGCATATTCCACTTGCGAAATCTCTGTTTCCTTCATATTTAGAGTTCATTGTCTGAATTCTATCAGGTGGCTGTGCTTGGAGGCGGATCTTTTGGCACAGCGATGGCTGCCCATATTGCTGGTAGAAAGCCACAATTGGAAGTCAACATGCTTCTCCGTGATCCTCAAGTATGCCAGTCCATTAACGATAGTCACTACAATAGGTAAGTTATACTGCAAAGAACTTTTCTTTTTCACCTATTTCAGCTTAAATCCATGCGTAATTAGCTGAAGTTCACTTACAATACGTATTTGTGTTTGTGTGTTGAGAGAGAGAGAGAGCTTGTGTAAATGTTTGTGTGGTCTCAGATGAAAGTTTGCTTGATTGCATTTGACTTGAGGACATTTATTTTCAGTAAGTACTTCCCACGGCACAAGCTACCGATAAATGTTATTGCTACAACTGATGCCAAAGCTGCTTTGCTAGGTGCTGATTTCTGTTTTCACGCTGTACCTGTGCAGGTCTTTCACTACTCTATTGAAATTTCAGCATTAGTATTTGTTTGCTCTTCGTAATTATGAATCCAAAGGGGAAAAACTTATAATGCAGTCCTTTCTTTACAGACTCAGATATAGGATCTTGGGATTTTTTAATAATCTTTTATCCCTTTCTTTAACCGTGGGTGGTTAACCACATGTTTTATTACTATTCATTTACTTTAAGTTGTTTCTTTCTTGTTAAAAGCTTTTATCATGTGGAAAAGGGCTTCTTTATTTTTGGTTAGGTAGTATTTTCAGTGAGGGTTTTTTTTAGCCTATAAATATGGCTGCCGTACTCTCTTTAAGGCCTTTGAATAGTTGTTGAATTATTTGGAACTTGAGTGCATCAGATTCTTGCGAATAATTCAATTCTCTTTCATATGGTTTTTTAATTGCAGATGTCACAAATAATTTTCATATGGGCCTTCAGTTTTAGATTTCAGAAATATTAATTACTAATTTTGCGTGATTTAATGATTTTTTTTTTTTAAAAAAAATACTATTGCAGTTCAGCTCGTCCTTTCTTGAGAGCATTGCTGACCATGTTGATCCACATGTGCCATTCATATCTCTAAGCAAAGGGTTGGAACTTAATACCTTGAGGATGATGTCACAGATTATTCCCCATGCACTGAGAAATCCTCGACAACCCTTTGTTGCTCTTTCAGGACCTTCATTTGCTTCGGAATTAATGAATAAATTGCCGACAGGTGATATTGACGCACATTTTGCACTTTTCTTCCTTAGTAAATGCTCTTTTGAATTGTATTGTTTTAAAATTGTTATGAACCTCTATCTTGATTTTCCAGCAATGGTAGTGGCATCAAAGGACAAAAAATTGGCAAATGCAGCTCAGCAACTGCTAGCTTCTAGTTATCTAAGAATAAGCACTTCGAGGTAGATATAATTACTGAACAATGAGGCTTACTTTTCTTGAAAATTGTAATTTAAAATACCTTTTGGTAGGAAACTTTGATTTATCCAACTAGTATTATCATCTTATCAAGCATCTAACTTCACATTTAGTCATTTATCCAGTTTCTCCGTTGCTACCTTATTCTTTGTTTATTTCTCCATTGTCTGATCACAAATTCCCTCCCAAAGTATTTTATTTTAAGAAAATAAAATATACCAAAATGAAAAGGTACTTGTAAGCTCTGTAAGCCAGTAATTTACTTAGCTTGTAACTTCTGATGACTCAGTGATGTGACAGGGGTGGAGATTGCAGGTGCATTGAAGAATGTCCTTGCGATAGCAGCAGGAATTGTTGAGGGGATGAATCTTGGTAACAACTCTATGGCAGCTCTTGTAGCACAGGGTTGTTCTGAGATCCGTTGGCTAGCAACGAAGGTATGCTTTTTTATTCAGCATTAATTTCTTTGAAGATTGAATGTGATTCATTTACGTCACAAGCCCAAAAACTAGATTTTGTTGTTTCTTAATAAAATTGTACATAATTTTAGGAAAAGTCTCAAATGAGAAATGGAAAATGTGTTGTAGTTAACAAATGTTTCTATTTTTCAAAACTGAACACAATTGAGAGATACTGGAACGATACCTAATGACCTCTTATGTATTTTTCTGAATGACATTTCAATATGGTGCTACCGTATGGACCCATTGTGAGATCCCACATCGGTTGGGAGGAGAACGAAACATTCTTTATAAAGGTGTGGAAAAACCTTGAGGGGACCCCTTTCCCTAGCAGATGCGTTTTAAAAACCTTGAGGGGAAGCCCGGAAGGGAAAACCCAAAAAGGACAATATCTGCTAGCGATGGGCTTGGGCTAAGAGTAAGAACTTTAATGGAGTGTTTTCTCTCTGCTGCCAATTCAGATTGTTACTAAATGTTCTCTGCTCGATTATTGGCCTCTTACGTATTTTTCTCAATGGCGCCTCAATATGGTGCTACCTTATGGATCCATTATCGTGTATGCTGAGAGTAAGAGCTTTAATGGAGTCTTTTATCTCTGCTGCCAAATCAGATTGTTACTGAAAGTTCTCTGCTCGTTTATTGTTTCTGTTCCAACTTCCGTTGGATGGTCCAGAAGATGTTGGCTTCTCATTCCTACATTCAATAATAGTTCAAGCCTTATCTAATACATCAAACACTCGCCTACTTTTCTTATCTTATCTAATTGTCTGATTGCAGTCCTGACATTCTGATAACTTTTGCCTTCAATTTTTTATTAAAGATGGGCGCGAAGCCAACTACAATTACTGGACTCTCAGGCACAGGGGACATTATGCTCACATGCTTTGTCAACCTCTCTCGAAATCGCACTGTCGGAGTACGACTAGGGTCTGGTGAGAATCTGGATGATATATTGAGCTCAATGAATCAGGTACTACCTGGGTAGTCTTTAAGCATGTCTGGAAATATTTGGTTTTCATTCAATGCTAATGTGTTGTTAAGGTCCCCCCCGTATGCAACAGGTTGCAGAAGGCGTATCAACTGCTGGGGCTGTTATTGCGTTGGCCCAGAAATATAATGTTAAGATGCCAGTTTTGACAGCGGTGGCCCGAATTATCGACAACGAGCTAACGCCACAAAAAGCTGTTCTTGAATTGATGGGACTTCCTCAGGTAACCCTTAGCTCTCATTGAACTGATAGATAGGAAATTTATTAACCTTCATCAGACTGCTTGAATGCTCATGTGAACTTCATTTAGGTGGAAGAGGTCTGATGATACCTGGGGGCTTCAGAGATATTAAGGCATTGTTATCACAATAAATATTTGGCATGAAACCATGATGCCATCAACCATTTTACTAGAACGTTGATCATAAATTCTATGAAACTTGCCACTGAAGACCAAAGGTGAAACTATCTTTGGTTCTCATTTTAATCAAATTCAGTGATTTTGATCTTGTGAAGTCAGTCATAAAAAACTGCCATCATTCTGTCTGATTTTATTTAATTGTTATGTGAAGAATCAACATCGATATCCATCATTTAATGATCAAATGTGATCATGTAATATGATTCATAATTGACTCAAAAATTCATTTTCAATCTAATTCTCTTGAATTTTTAAGTTCACATTATTGACTTAATGACGTTCATCAGGTTTACATATTTTTGTGACCTTGTTGCAGACTCACGGGCGACCGATTTTTATGATTTCTCTAAGGACCATTGCAGGTCGGTAAAATTTCGTGAAAAGGTACTTAGAAGTGAAGTGTACACTCATTGTTTTATAACCTAGGAAAGGAAATTATAAAACTTTTGATAAGCATGAATGACTTCCAACAAATAACTCCCGTCCTAGAATTGGATACTTAGATATGCATATACATACCAGTGCAATTGCAAAACTTAAGATCCATCTCTAAACATAAATCCCTTAAATCAAATATGAACCATCTCTAGCTTGTGACTATGTGTTATTCTTTAAAAAAAGAAATAGACAGGTGACAGTATGATGGCTAAAACTTAAGAGAGACCAAACTGAGGCGAATATCCTCTTAGAAAAGGTTGAAGAAAAGTGGGGCACGACAAAAGCACACCAATTCCTTGTTTCAATTGAGACAGTGTTTAACCCTTCCTTCACACACACTATAAGATAGTTTCTCCCTTTCTTACACGTTGACAGCAATAACAAAAATATTTTTCCACGGAGGAAGAAGAGAAAAAAGCAACTTTACTTAGTCTTTGGTCAAAATATTGTAAAACCCTTCAAACCCCAAAAGGAAGAATCCTTTTGAATGGAAGCCCAAAGTCTTCCTGTAGACCCAACCCCCCCATTTTGGTTGAAATTCCCGGTCGACCATGACCAAGTCCCTCCTTTTCCCAATAATACCCACCACCTCTTTATTTTATTCATTCATTTTTGTACCCTTTTCATCCAACATGCCATACCATACCATACATACCATACATACATACCATACCCCATACCATACACATATATATTTGTTGGCGATCTTGAGGTTGTCAGAATTATTGGGCTATGGAGGTAAATCCGGGCATGGAGGAGGCCCTTTCTTTGATTCTTCGAGGGTGTTCCTTGGCCAGAGATTTTGAATCCAATCCTTTAAATTTCCGCAATAATATTAACTTCCTCGCTCGTTTTTGTGATGAGATTTTGGGTGTTTTCTCCGCCGCCAAGGAGCGCCTCAGTGGCCCTCAAAACCAGTGGCTCAGGACCAGTACCTCCCAACCTATGGACTTGCCGCGGATTCAGATGAGGCCGCCGCCGTTCGAGGATTCCGGGAATCTACCGGCAATGGGTTTTGGTTCTTCTTCTTATTCTTCCACGTCAACCAAGGCTCGAAGACGGTATTGGTTAAATTATGAATTCTTTATTCATCGAAACTAAAAGTCAAAAAGTAAAAGTAAAAGAGATTGTTTTTTTGTGAAATGGGTTTAACCAGAAAAGATGGAATGGCGAAGAGGACGGTGAGAGTGGCGGCGCCGCGCATCGGAAACACAGAGCTGCCACCGGACGACGGTTTCACATGGCGTAAGTATGGACAGAAGGAGATTCTTGGCTCCAGGTTTCCCAGGTTTGTTTTGTTACTAATTTAATTACGTTGCTAACTTCGGCTTAAGATTTTAATTAATTATTGAAATTAAAATCATAACAACACAAATAATTCAAAAAAAAGTGAAATTATTATTCACAAACACATATTTCAATGGAATTCGAATAACTTCATTTATTATTAAAAGTTTTCATTTTAACAAATAATAAACCAAAAAGTAAATAAAACCCTTTTTTTTCCGAGAATTTGTAATCATAAGCTTTTGATTTTAATCTTTTGTTTAATTCTTAACACAAAATTAGCCCATTTATACAAAATCAAGTAAATATATTATTTACTACCAAAATGTACAATATTCGATGTGAAATCCCACAATCGGTTGTAAAGTATAGAAACCTCTCTCTAGATGACACACGTTTAAAAATTGAAGACAATATGTAATGAACCAAAGTGGATAATATGTACTAGCGGTAACCTCAAGCTGTTACAAATGTTATTAGAGTTAGAAACTAGGCGGTGTGCCAACGAAGACGCTGACCCCCAATGAAGTGAAACCTCACCCAATGAAGTGAAACCTCACCCAATGAAGTGGACAATATCTACTAACAACTCTTACCATCCAACTACATTAAAAAAAAAAAAAAAAAATCAATATAAAATAATAATAATTCAAATTAACTAACTAAATAAAAATTACAAGTTGTAAGTTTATATTTATTCTTTGGAAATTTAAAATTTATAAAACGATTTTTTTTTTTAAAACAAAGATTTTTTTTTAAGTAAAACAAAAAAAATTATTTTTTTAATTTGGTAGGGGAAATTGATTTATAAAATAATCGAAGGTTTGACCGATTTAATTGAAAACAAATGTGGGACACCTTTGTTGAATTTCTGACTCATTCTTCGGTCAATAATTCTTCAATATTAATTTTTTGTTTATTATTAAATGTCTTTATCTATTATTAATAAACCCTTTCTATTTTCAAATTTTAATTTTATTTGATTAACCAATCACATTTAACTAACTAATTTCAATATCATATTTTAATTGGTGGTTTAAATATTTAATTTTCACAGTAATTAAATTTATATAAAAAAACAGAATTAATTTTATGATTTTAACAAAAATAAATAAATAAAATGTTGCAGAGGCTACTTCAGATGCACCCACCAGAAGCTCTACCACTGCCCAGCCAAGAAGCACGTGCAGCGCCTCGATCACGATCCCCACACGTTCGAAGTCGCCTACCTTGGTGACCACACGTGCCACATGTCCGCCACCGCCCCCTCCGCTCCACCACCGCCATCGACGCTGCCGGAAGTTGCCGGGCTACACATGACCCAGTACCCTCCCCCCTCCTCCGGATGGCTTTCGATGGAGTACGGGGGTCCGGCCACCATCCGGTCCAGCAAAGACGTCGGCGATCAGTTCCCGGTGTTGGACATGGTGGACGCCATGTTCAACTCCGGCACCGGCAGCAGTAATAGTGTAGACTCCATCTTCGGCGCTAATGTGGGGGAAGAACATCAGCATCACAAGTGGGAGAAAGACAACAAGAAAAATTAGTACAATTATTTTTCAAATTACAATTTTTGGTCTCTCATATTTTGTTTTAAAATATTCTTAATAAGCTCCATATTTTTTTTTAATTATATTTTTTTAGAATTTTCTTTTAATACATGTTTCATCATTTAATTTGCTTCAAACAAGAATACCTTTCAATTTTAAAAACAATTTCAGATCAAATGACAATATGGGTACGACCTTTAAGATTTTGTAGATTAAACTTTTCGATGAAAATGAGTCCTAAATGTAAATGTTAGTGTTGTGTACACAAATAATATTTTAAGAGGCCTCATGCATGAACATAAATGACATGTATTATCATAATAAGTATGGTGACAATTATCCGTTTAATATTTTGAGATATTATGATGAGTAAAATTCAATTCTACGGAGTGACAATTCTCATCTCGGCAGAGTAAAGTCTCTCGAAACTTCCATTTTTTCTCTCTTTTTTTTTTTCGATCTATTTTCCCTTGCAGCACTACCATCCTAGTTGATTTAGGTATGAGGTTGATCCCTTTATTAGGTTACTATGCTGGAGCTTTGGAAGGGTAGTTAATTATCCTCTAGTAATGAAAAGTTCATCGTTGTAATTTAGGTGGTTGTCAACCCACTTCTAATGGTACATGATTTATCACGACTTACCACCTATGTATCATAGTTGAAATTGATAAGGATTGATTAAATTTTAAAGTATGTCATTTAGATTCTAAAGCAGATAAAAAAACGCCATCAACTTTAATTATATATTAGATGACAAGAGCCTATAATATTTCAAAGCAATTGAATCTTCTTACCGAGTATTTCTTCCATACTACTTTTCACTTTTCAAATGGTCCCTAACCTTGCATGGTGTGTGACAAGATCGGTCTTCTTTTATAAAATCCTTAGTTTTGCTTAGTTACAAGAAAGTAATATAATTTTTCTTAGAAATAAATATTTATGATTTTTTTTCTTTATAATAATAGTTAGTTAGAAAGTTCTCAGGGAAAATATATTAGGCATTTTTTAAGATATAATATTTAATTGAAAAAAGTCTTAATGATTAAATTTATAATTTTAAATGAAAAAAAAAAGGAAAAGAAGAGAATAAATATAATGGAGTGACGGGGAGGTTATGTGGATGGAAAACTGTAGGCTAATTGACGTAAGCATGCTGACGTAATCGTATATACGTAAGCGCAGTAGGGAGGCAGTAATTGCTTCGGATAATGGAAGAGGCTGCCACCAATATTTCCTCAAACCATAAGTCTCCCATTTGTTGGTTGTATTATTATTTATATTATAATTTAATTATGTATTTAGTTAAATTTTATTTTATTTAAAAAATTAAAGTTGGAGAATAGATCAAATTATCCTTTTATGAATGCAACATTTCAACAAATATTATTTCATGAAGCAGATCAAACTTCGAAAAGAAAAAATACACAATATTTATAGACTAATTCAAAGTCACTATCCTTCGATAACCAATTTTTTTAAGATGAAAAGATTTAATCAAGGAATGAACACAATGATAGATGTGAAATGAGTTGCTACCCCCTTTTGCAGCCCTGAAGGATTAGGTTAGTTAGCTAAGATTGCTATTCTTGCAGCTGAAATTAATGGGAGCACATGTGGGATGTCGGGAATGTGTCCAAAGGGTTGTTGGATTCAGTGTAAGTGATGAACAACCAAATGGACTAAGGCCGGAAGAAGGAGAAGAAGCCATCCATCATGGACATACTACAAGTGTATTACCTACCCCTTATGACCTGCATTTAGGTAAATGATCAAAGTTTCCATCTTGGGTAGAGAATAAATTCCAGAGTTCAAGAAGAATGAAAAAACGGACATTCTCTAGCATCCTTATAAAGAATGTTTTGTTCTCTCTTCAACCTACGTAACCAACGTGAGATCTCATGATCCACTTCCTTGGAGGCCAGCGAGGATGCTGGCACATCACCCAGTGTCTGAGTTTGATTCCAAACAGTCCAAACACACTACTAGTAGATATTATTTGCTTTGACTCGTTATGTATCGCCGTTAACTTCACGGTTTTAAAACGCGTCTACTAGGAATAGATTTCCACACTCTTAAGAATGATTTGTTTACCTCTCCAACCGATGTGGGATCTCACAACTGCCAAAACAAACGAGTAACAACCTTAATCTTCCAAATTCAGTTTGAACTTTTCATGTTTGTATTAGGGGAATCATACAATGAGCAGATCAAATTACCTTTCCTCCACCCTACTTATTCTGTCTTCTGTGTAATATACCGTTTGGAACTTGTTCTTTATTGAATGAACTTTCATGCTTCCACATCGGAAGACTTTCTTCTGTCTCTCTGTTTTTATGACACTTAGGAAACATAGGGAGCTGAAAAGTGATGAGAACAGACAAAGATTCGTGTCACTAAATTTGGTACAAGTATGGTTCGTGTTGAGCTAACAGAGAGAAAAACATACAAGAAATGAGAACAGGTGAAAAGGGATTGTTGAAGTTCCTCAGCCAAAGCTCCGGAACCTCCTGCTTCTGTCTGTTCTCTAATGGTACTAGGGAAGGATTATAAATACTTTTCTTCTCTGTTTGAAACTGAAAAGCTTGCAGCCATTTGGCTGGTTGAAGAAGAAGGTTTGGGAGGAGATGAATAAGAAAAAGAAGTGTTTCAAAGAACTGTAAAATATTCAATGTCTGAAGGAACTCTGATGTGATGTCAAATAAGTTTGGTAACTCCGAATAAGATCTCATATGAACATGTTCATCTTTCTTCTTCTTCTTCTCTCTCTCTCTCTCTCTCTCTCTCTCTCTCTCTCTCTCTTCAGATTCATCATCAGAATGTTGCTTAAGAGCTTGAAAAACTCTAGAACTGGTACTGAAAATCTTAGCTCCCTATGGTAATCAGTAGGGTCTCGACCTTCATCTCCCCCATAATGGCTTCTCTTTCCAAAGATTCAAGCAACTCCACCATTCCTTTTCCTCCACTGCCGCATTTCTCCTCTAGCCTCCCTAGTTTCAGCCACTCTTCTCCCTCCACCGACAATTCTCTCTCCAGCTCCGCCACAGAGCTACCCCAGCCACCCTGACTAACACATCTCGGTGCCGCAGCCTGACGGCGGAGCCATGAAGGGGAAACCGTTGAAACTGGCCTGAATTTGGGGAAGACGACGGCGGATGGGCGGTGGAAGAAGGGTGAGACTTGCATCGTTGGTGTTGGTGGGGGTGTTGATAAAGTGATGGGCTTTATTAATGTTATGGGGAGAGATTTTGGAGAAGAGTTCGAAATATAGAGAATATTGCGGGGAGAGAGGCGGCGACACTGGCCACCGTTTGACGTGGAAGTCGGAGAATCAGTGGAACGGACGTGGTGGCCAAATCAGGTAAAAATATTCTTTGGTGTAGTGAAATATATTGCTCATGATGTTGATAGACAAATTCTAAATCTGTGGCACTAGATGCCTTGAAATTTGTGTAAGGTACTTAAGTTTGGATAGGTTTTTGAAAGCAATGGGAGAGAAATGTGGTCCAAATTATCAACCTTTCTTAATGTGTATGGTTCAAGAAGTTCATGAATGTATTCTTCTTTCCTAGGCTCTCAGTCTTACTTCATTTTAGGACTTCAATGAAAAAAACAAAACTCAAGTTGCAAGGAAGGACCATTTTACTAGTGATCATTATTCAGAAGTATTCAATACTTATGGTTCTATAACGCAAACTTTCTGATTATATAGACTAAGGACTGATGTTCTATGCAAAAGCATACCTGTACTGTGTACCCTGAAGTTTATGAACTTTGTCGGCTACGAACACAAAAGTTTGTTCATTTGCCTCTCGTCTACGAGTATATTTGCAGCAACAGCAGTTGAATCTTTCCTTCCTATCGCTATTTCAGTATCCAAATCCTGCGTTGATAGAATGAGAACAAATTGATTTAGGATACTTTTGTTAAATTCTGTTCATATATACTATGACAAAAAATGGAGAATATTCTTATGAAAAAAGAAGAGATATTACCTCACTTCAATGACCTTCTAGAAAACTAACATGTTTTTTTAGTTAATTTGAATGAATCAAATAAAAGCAAATTCCAAAAGGAGCCAAGATCTCGGGAAAGGCCACAGCATTGACGTCATTATTCGTGGCACCCATTTGGATGAGGGCAGATGCCATTGGTTCATAATCTTCAGATGAAATTGATGCCAAAAATACGTCCATCGCAGCCCATGTTTCTGGAGATATACACCCAACTATCCTGTAGGTATATATATATATATTTACACATCAAGAAATGTGGCTATCCATTCCGAAGTCCCAAACAAATGGTGGTTGCAGTTTGTAAATAGCTGTCTAAGAAAATAAAACTAGAACTTATGGCAAGTAATTTAAGGCATTGGCGAACATCCTTATTAATGGATTCCTACAAACAACTAGCATTTCGTCAAATGTGCTGAGAAATAATACAAGTTCAAGAAAATGGAAATCTGTAACTCCAAGAATGGAAATTCAAAATTAACATTGAAGGGAGGGAAGAGGAGTAGAGTTCAGAAAAAAGAGAAATTTCAACCACATTAACCCAGAAAGCTCTGAACTCCAATCCCATAATCATTCTATAAAATACCCCACAGCCATTTAATTATGGAAGAAAGTGGGATTGAGCCAGATGGTAAGAGCGAAATAACCATTCAAATGATACCAGGCATATCAAATGAGATTAACGAACTCTATAATGGAGAAGAATGGTTAATATATTTTTTTTTCCCGAGGGCTCTCTCTCATAAACTAATTCCAAAGTCTATCTAATTCCTTCTCCACCACTTCTTCCTTCCTATTTTTAACCTCCTGCCCATATCAAACTCCTCCCATGGCAGCTTGGCTAACAAACTCATCTCTCATCTTGGATACTCTAACCAACCCATTCTTTTAGTTAAATCTATCAACTGACTTATATAACTACCCTAGGTTCCTAACACTACCTAAATCCCGAATATCAATTCTTTCTTCTTTCTTATAGAAGAAAAAAGGTATCAATCATTCAATGATCAATACTCCAAGACTTTAGATGGTCACCTTGAGACTTTGTAGTAAGCTCTGGAAGTGGTCTCACGATGTCAAACTGGATGGTAAGCTGTTTCATTCTTCGTTGTCAGCCAAAACATGAATGTTTTGTAGACTATTCTCCGATCATCACATACAACATCTCAAATTACTTTCATTATCTTAATTAAGACTGATACGTTTATTTAGAGAGTTGGGGGTGGATTGCTGCTTGTGTTTCTTAAAATCATGTGGTTTCTTTCAAGTTAAGTTACCCAAAAATAATACTAACGCACATTGGCAGAGAGATTTAACCTAATAGGGAGTCGTTCAATGGCTGGAATCATGGAAAGAGGATGACACCAACTAACGCTGTACTCTTGTAAAAGAAGATGACAAGGTTCAGAGTAGCTTATACAGTGGAAGAACAGATAGTTTCAATCCTCTAAAATCTAGGTAACAAAGAAGACATATAAAGGAGAAAGCAGTTTTTAGAAATATTTTAAGCGAAGTTCAAGCTCCCAAAGAGAGGCACCAGGTAGGAATCTTCCTTTACAAGCGACTATTGGTTATAAATAACCTTATAGACATGTTGATTAAGGATGGAGCTCCTATGTGACTAAGAAACACACAAGACCAGAATTAGCAGACAATTATGCCGAGATATTCCTCACTTCCTCGTACAAATAACAGTTGTAGATGTTAGAATTGCAAAGGTCCCAACTTATCCATCCTCGCCCAAATCAGGATAATTGATTCAGAAAAAAAAAAAAATCTCACACGTAAACTAGCTATATGTACGAGTTTAGTGAATTCCCTTCATATAAAATCTTCTTTATTGTCAAGAAATGATTTAAGAATTCATTTGGAAGATGATTTCTGCCTAGACAAAAGAACATGTTAAGAAACGACGATTACGAACACGAAGTTAAAGAGACTGGATAAAATCTGAAAGAACCAATACCTGCGCACATCTGCAGGCCACTCTCAACCAACTCCAATAAATGCTTGAACTAGGCTTGGGACCACTTGGACCTGTGTTTATGGATGCAATGGCCCAAGACCAAGGCTAGTAGATAGCATGCTCTTTGGGTTTCTCCTCAAAAATTTTAAAACGCGTTTACTAAACAGAGATTTCCATACCCGTGTAAGAAATACTTTGTTTCCCTCTCCAACTGGTGTTGAATCTCACAATGAAAGTCTGCATAATGTCTTCCAACAGTTTAGGCAGATTTTCCGTGCTAGCTGAGAATTACGTAGGCATTTTGTTAGATTTTGACGAGGATGGAGTCAAACAGATGAAATCCAAACACACTTTCATTAGGTAGGAAAAAGTTGCCGATTAAATTACAAGTTCTTGGCCGTGAGTCCTGGTTAAAGTGATTTCGAAAAGGGGGAAAAGTTCCCAATTTCCTTCTTTATTGAGTAGGTAGGAAAAAGTTGCTGTTAACTTCAGGAGTAAAGAAGAAGCACTTTCCTTCTCCTTCTTCCCTAAACATACACACGATTATCTAGAGGAAAAACAAAAAGTCAGTATGCTTAATTTAATCCGAATTGTTCCGCACTCTAATCGGCAGATGCAATGAAGTTTTCAACAGACGCTATCGCTTCCGAAGCAGAAAGTTCGAACAATCAAACTCCATAACATTTCCGAAAAGGCAATCGCAATTAGAGAAGAATAAGAAAAAGAAGAACAAGAAGAAGAAGAGGATGGCAACTTCACCTTGAAGGCGGGAATCGAAGAGGTCCTGAGCTGGAGTGTAACGAACAAGGAGACGAAAGGCGTTGGGGCTGAAGGCATGGTGGGAATTCTTGATAGCTATGGCGGGCAATTAAATTGTTTTTATTTAGTTTTCAATTACTTTTATTATTATTATTATAAGAGTAAATTAAAAAATAATAATATTTAAGAGGAGGACCCAACGGTTCAACGGTCGGCTTGGTTCGTATTGTGTCGCCGAGCCGACTGAGCTGAATTAGTCGCATTTTTGTGCCTAATACGATACGATATGATACGATACGATACGATACGATACGATACGACTCGGCTTCCACGCGCACTCCCTTCTCCTCCACTATTTGCCTCTCTCTACGTTTCATTTTACATTCAATTCTCCATTTTTTTTTCCCAACCTATTTCTTCGTTTCCTTTTTCCTTCCCCAAATTCCCCCGGCGACCCACCTCCCTCCGCCCCCTTCCGACCGGATCACCGCCATTTCCGGCTCCAAACGCCACATTTATCCTTGCCCATCATCTTCTGTTTTTTTCCTTTCAGGTGGTGGGATTTCGAAGGGGTTGAATCGGTACAGGTTTTGCAAGGAGGGGGAAGGTCGAACATCATTTGGGCTTTTGCCTTTTGCCTTTTGCCTTTTGGTCACTACCAATGGAGACCTCGGCTTCCAATTCTGATCCTTACCCCAATTCTTCTTCACCCACAACTTCTCCTACCTCCTCCAGATTTGGGGTCTCGATCCCTTCGCTCAATTTCTTCCGTTCGCCTCTGTCCGTCATTTTGGATTACTCTGGAATTCTTCCCACTAGGGCTGTTCCTCATGAATCGGAACCTATAATCAACGGCTCTGCCACCCCTGATTTGCGGGTTTATTCTCAAAATCAGAATCACTTGATGACCACCACCACTTCTTCTTCTTCTTCTTCTAGTACTAGTCCCACCTCCTCCTCCTCCTCCGGTAATACCAGCCCCTCTGGGGAGGTTTCGATTAGGATTATTGGGTCTGGTGAGCAAGATCCTTCTCCGGCTCTGGTTGGACAAGCTGGCTATGAGCAAAATGGTGGACTTCCTGTTTCTGGGGATCAGCCGGAATCCCCTGATGAGGAACGAGTTCCTTTGGTGTCCACTGCTTCTTCGTCTATTCAATCTGGAAGCAGTCGTGTTTCAGAATCTGGAAATGGCGTGGAAGAGAGTGTTAATAGAGATTCGTCTTATCAGAGATACGATATTCAGCAGGTTGCCAGGTGGATTGAACAGATTCTTCCTTTCTCTTTGCTACTGCTGATAGTCTTTATCCGTCAGCATTTGGAAGGTGCTATCTTTTGTCCTCTCTTTTGTTGGACCGATTATAGTTTTCGATTTTTATTGCCCTTTGCACGTGGCCACACTTTTACGTATTATTGATTGTCGTTATCGAATTTCATATAGTGCTGGTAGTAACTAGTCCTTGTTAAGATATAATTTACTGGGAATGCTGGCCATTGCTTACTCAGGACTTCCGTTGTATCTATTAAAATTTCACTCTCGTTAGTTCTTATACCTTTTAGATGACTTACAGCGTGATTGTAGAGGATAAGGTTTGATTTGGATACTTGTGTGGTGTGGTAAATTGCCCCGTGCAACGCGGTTATTGTAAGATCATCCAAGAATTTGGAGACCAGATTGGATTAACTTCATTGACAATTGGGTTCTATTACTAACACATGTTTTCATGTATTGAAAAATAAAATATGCGTTGAGAAGGCAGCTCACGGAAGTGGGGAGGAAGGTGTTGAGAAAGAAGTAGAGGAATACTGTGGAAACAGTTATGCTAGCAGATTATTTGGTTTGGAGATGACACTTTGCCATAAATCTTTGGAACATACTTTTGGACACGTTTGTTTGGTAGTCGACATATACATTAATTATCTTCCACTACCTAACCTAATAAGGGAGTTGCAGTACACTGTTTGGTGTAATCACAAAGACAAGTAGTGATCATCTTGTAATCTTCTCCCTTTTACTCTCTTTCTGTAACATTCTTCTAATTGGTGAGAAATTATTTCTTTGATATTTCCAGGTTTTTTCATCACAATTTGTATATCAGCTGTTATGTATAAGTCGAACGATATTGTCAAGAAACAGACTGCTCTAAAGGTGGCGTAAACCTAAACCCAGACTTATCTTATCTATTAGTACTTTATTTCTTATTCAACTTCACTGAGAATCCACTTGCAAGAAATATATACTGAAGAATTTACTCTTTTTTAGGGGGAGAGGAAAATTTCTGTCCTTGCTGGGACATCTATTGCATTTTTGGTTCATGTTATTGGGATTTACTGGTGGTGCCATCGTGATGATCTTCTATACCCGTTAGTCATGCTTCCACCAAAGACAGTACCACCGTTTTGGCATGCCTTGTTCATAATTTTGGTTAACGGTACAGATTTTCCCTTGCTTTGGCTTATTAAGTTTCTGTAGGTATAGTGATTGAATTAACATATGGAATAGAGCTTCAAAAAATGTATGCAGAAAATTCTTTAAGTGTCACAGTGCGATTTCTAATTAGTTAGCTTGAATGGTGATATAACAAAGGCATAAATATGGTTTATTATCTTTATGTTATCTATATGGATCTTGCAAACATAGTTTTTAAGACAGGATTCAGGATAATTGCCAAAAAGTGAAAGAATGATATTGTGGTTTTACTTTTTCTTTTTTTTTTTTTTTATGCTTCAACCTTCCTCTTATTCCAACTTCTTTGTTGTATTTCTCTCACAATTTTCTGTACAATTTTTCATACATTTGACTTTAATGTACTCATTCTTTGATTTTGGACTCTATTGTGTTGCCATGCCAGATACGATGGTGAGGCAGGTTGCAATGGCTCTCAAATGTCTTCTTCTTATTTACTACAAGAATGGCAGAGGCCATAATTTTCGCCGGCAGGTATTATGAGATCTCAAATTTAGCTTAATCATATGTTTTGTGTTTATCTTGTTGTAACCATTAATATTATTGAAATGTCTGACAATTACTTGGTTTTAGTTCTTTGATTGTTTATAATTCATGTTTCAGGGACAAATTTTAACTCTCATGGAATACACTCTTCTGTTGTATCGTGCATTGTTACCGACACCTGTATGGTACCGGTTTTTCTTGAACAAAGATCAAGGGAGCCTTTTTTCATCACTGACAACGGGATTGTATTTAACCTTCAAGCTAACTTCTGTTGTTGAGAAGGTATGGTTTAAAACATGAATATTCATACCTTAATAAGCACTAAAAATTTCAATATTATGTCATAGTTAGTGGAAACCAACCTTGTTCACATACTATCTATTTTGTTATTTTCTCTTTAGATTCAATCATTCGTGGCTGCATTTAAGGCTCTATCACAAAAAGAAGTCCATTATGGATCATATGCCACATCAGAACAGGCAAGTATATACATACCTGTCTATTGTAGTCTCTTTCGAAATTTACCATTTTAAAACAGCTTTGTGTTTCTTCTTGCATATAACTTTACGCATCTGTTTTCACATTCTATTTAATGTATCCGGCAAATAACGATATAACATAAATATTTGTGGAACCCTTTAAGATGATTGAATGTCTCCTTTTTTAATGCTTTCTTAATGTTACAAGTCATTCCCTCTATAGTTCATGTTAATGGGATTCCCTTACGTTCTCATGAATATGTGATATTATTACTAGCCTACAGGATATGGTGGGAGAAGTGACCTAGAATTTTTCTTAGATAAGATAAACCAATGTGTCACTATCTTTCATTGGTGTGGCGACTTAACTTTTGTACCTTTTGAAGTTACATGATTGACTCTTCTATATGTAACTTTTTTTTTTCTTTCTTTCTCTCTTTCTTTCTTTGCTACTTCCCTTTTATAATTCTGGCTAATTGGAGTGATTCATTTTAAATACCTTTTGGTCTTTATTTGGTTGGGTATCAAAATTTTAGTTTTTATGTTAAAAAGCTGCATTTCAATGAAAGTTTTAGGGGTACAAGTAAAATTTGCTTTTTTCTTTTATATTTCTGTAGTTACTCGTATCAGGCCGTACATCTTGGGATGCTATTTTTGAGGTGTGCTTTTTTCATTTGTTTGACGCATCAAGAGGAAAAAAAAAAAGGTCATAATCGTGATTTGGCAATTAGCTCCCGTAATTTCCTGCGTGTCACCCACATTGAAGCAGGAAAAGCTCTTGACATTAGTATTCTATGTCCTGTGATTTCTCTAGCATTGCATGATCAAATAGTAACTTCATGCATTAATTAAATTCCTTCAAGTCTTCCTTATACTTTATTTTACAGGTAAGTGCGGCGGGAGACCTCTGTGCTATTTGCCAGGAGAAGATGAATGCTCCAATCCTGTTACGCTGTAAGCACATCTTCTGTGAAGATTGTGTTTCTGAATGGTCAGTATGATGACTTCACATCTCTTGCGTTTTCTGAATACTACCAACATTGCATTACTATTTTCATATCAGACCTCCATAGGACCAATATATAGATTATAACAGGGGGACAAGCATTCTAATTTGAACTCTTAGGTACTATTGTAATTATCTACCTTGTTATGAGCCAAAAAGTCATGCTCTTGGCTGAGAAAAACTGAATTTGTTCATCAGGTATCGAGGAATTAGTTCAGTTTATTTTTAAATTCTTTTACTGGATGGCCTATCATATAAAGTAGAGGTATATAATTTTTAGAGTTTTTTTTTTGCAAATCCAAACACACCACATTATCATTCCATCCTCATATGTATCTTATGAATCCTTAATATTAGAAATGATCTATATGGTCATATCATTCTTATTATTAGTGACAGGGGATTGTCTATGTCTGACTAGTATGGCTACGGCATTTATTTGACTGAGACTATGCTGTGTTGCCCACATTTTTTTTTCATTTACTCCTGCGCACGCATTCGACAATGGACCTACTTGGGTGCACGGAGATGAAGGAACCAAAAAAAAAAAAAAAAATGAAGAAAGGACAGAACCCCTTGAATCTTGATTAACAGTGGCACGATTCTTTCGACTGGGCATAAGTCTAGTGCTTAGGAATTAGTTTTAGCTCTAACAAATGTCATTGCATTTCCATTTACTGGTTCAAGTACTTGTGTTTTCAGGTTTGAAAGAGAAAGAACTTGCCCTCTCTGCCGGGCACTGGTAAAGCCAGCAGAACTCCGAACATTTGGCGACGGGTCGACCAGCTTACTCTTCCAGTTGTTTTAGACAACCATTTGGCATTTCTGGACGTAACAGCTCTATCAGCTTGACAAAGAAACATATTGTTTATTGGATGGACAGGGGAGAAGAAAAAGAACAAAGAGAAGGGGAAAGAAGAGAAAAAGAAAAAGGGAAACATAACATAACATCCAGATGAGTTTAAAGATGCTGTCAAATTCAAAACTGGATTAGTATTATATTAATGCTTTGTAATCATTGTGACGAGTTGAGTTAGATGTCCAAACAGAAGATGGATTTAATAAAATCCCATTTCATCATTAAATTCAATGAAATCTAATTCTTAACGAAAAGAATCCCACTGTGAAAACTGCATGTTACTTGAAAACTGATGAGTATTCCCCGTAGAGTTTAGGCCTGGAAACAGCTGCCATGTTGAATGTGTAGAGTCTGCAGTGATTATGTAAACACAAATAATTGTTGTTCATATACTGTTCTACAGGTTTCAAGTGTGAGGCATCACAATCTTATGATCTGTTCATACTGTTTCTGAGGCCTTTTTTTTTCTGTGCTCTGAACAGTGAAGTTATGAAATCATCAAAATTGAACTATTTGTTTAATGTTTTTATTTTTTAAAGTTTCATACTTGTCGTCTTGGACTATTACTTATATTAGAGATAGACATGACATTCATGGGACGAGAGGTATGAGTATAAAAGATGACCCATCTTAGTCGTACTCTCAAAGTTAGGTGATGAAACAAAATCAAAATTCATAATTTAGATTAATACAATTATAGTGGAGTTGATATACATCACTTTCATACATAGATATATATATATATATCACTTTCATACCTTGTCACTTTCATGTACATAAAATCCATAAACATAAAATCCATAAACATGCATCAATTTCCCATAGTCATGTCTTTGAAAGAGAGGGTGGTACGGGTCTTTAAAAACAAAATTTATTTATTTTTAACCTAACCCTAACCCTAGTTGACTTGGTCCACTCTCAATTTCAACCATTAAAATCCAATTTTTTTCACAACCTTATTTTGATGAGCCAAACTAGGTCCACTAACGGATCATATCTATGTCAAATAAGTTAAAAACACGACAATTCATCCTCTATATAAATTATGCCCTCTCTCTTTACTCGTAAACTTAAAAGTTAGCACAAGATCAACTAATCATTGGATTACGATAATGTGAGAGATAAAACGGGTTGATATTATATATTAAATCATTTAATAAACCCATAAACCTAATAAGTATTTAATTCGAGTAGCTGTCATTTATATGTTAAAAAAAAAAAACTTTTTATTTTCTCTCTCTCTCTCACTCTAATGTCCCAAACTCTTATGGCAGCCTATGTCCCATCATCTCCATATATTTCCCTTTTCTTTTCTCCTTTATTACCCTTCTTTCTTTTTCCCTCTTTCCTTTCAAACGCTGTTCCTCCATTGTTTAGGGTTTCATGTCCTCCACTCTTCTTCACCATCCTCATGCTGCCTCTTCCAGGTTAAAGCTTCTACCTTTCTTCTTGTTTGTTTGGGAATTTGGGTCCTTTTTTGCAGAGAAATTGTGGTTTTTATGTTGATTATAGAGTCATGTTTTGGTTGTTTTGGAGGTTTTTGAGACAGCCCATGTCCGAAAAGGTGTGTAATGAAGGATATATTGCATGAAGAAATGGAGAGAGAGAGCTTCCCTCAGCCCACTCATGGAAGGACTCAAAGGGGTTGCTGAACTAACTGCCGACTCATTCACTCAAACACTCAGTACTATTCTTTCCTCTCTACTGTGACTGCGTGAATGAAGCGGGAGATATTTTGCTCTCTCTCTTTTTCTTTGCTTGGACTGAAGGGAGCTCCTCCTTTCTACTTCTCCATAAAACTCTCAACCCAATTCAACTCCCGCCTTCTTTGCCCTACCCGACCCCGATGAGTTCGGACGATTTTTTGGGAGGGTGGACTCACCTTGTTGGCCCTAGTCGACCCTGATGAGTTCAAGACGATTTTTGGGAAGGTGAATTGATCTTGTTAGCCCTAGTCGACCCTGATAAGCTCGGGACGACTTTTGGGACAATCAACTGACCTTATTTGCCCTAGTCGACCCTGATGAGCTCGGAACGACTTTTGGGAGGATGAACTGACCTTGTTTCCCTAGACGACCCTGATGAGCTCGAGACGACTTTTGAGACAATCAACAGACCTTGTTTACCCTAGTCGAGCCTGATGAGTTCAAGACGACTTTTGGGACAATCAACTGACCTTGTTTATCCTAGTCGACCCTGATGAGTTCAAGACGACTTTTGGGACAATCAACCGACCTTGTTTGCCCTAGTCGACCCTGATGAGTTCAAGACGACCTTTGGGACAATCAACTGACCTTGTTTGCCCTAGTCGACCCTGATGAGTTCAAGACGACCTTTGGGACAATCAACTGACCTTGTTTGCCCTAGTCGACCCCGATGAGTTCGAGACGACTTTAGGGAGGACGAATTAATCTTGTTTGCCCTGGACATTGAAATATTCTAGATCAAGAAAAGAAATTATTTAATAATCGTATGAGTTAGAAGAAGTCTCTAAGATCTGATCCAATTGATGATGAACAATGTCCACAAATGTAGAGGTAAGAATGTATGGAGACCCTAACTTAGCTCAATTATTGCATTTTTCTTCATTTTGTGAGGTTCCCATTTCATTCTTTTTCACTTTTACTCTCTCTGATTGTGCTCTTTCAGGCAAGGCTTTCACAGCTATCAGCAAACCCTGTCCCCAAAAAGGTAACTTTTTGGTACCCATCTCTTACCCTTCACTTTGATAACTAGTTGGCTCGACTCCGTTCGGTTCGATTCGGTTCTGTTTTCATTAGAACCTTGTTTATATGCTCCCTTTGTTGAAGTAAATGGCTAGAAAAGTTAGGCCTCTGAAATGATTGCACCAAAAAAACAACAAAATCAAGGCATGCAAAGGTTAAAATTATGCAATTTCAACACAATTTGGTAAAAAACAAATGAAGGAAGAAGTGGGCAATTGGAAATATTATTCCTTTGAAAAGCTTCATGTTTGATGATGGCAGATAAAGTTAGGTTACATGAGAATTTGGCAGTCCTTCACCAGCTTTCTTCCCTTTCCTTTTCTTTTTTTCCCATTTTCCCTCCCAAATTAATTCAACACATTCCACTAAACTCTCTCTTTTTACAAAATTGCATTTAGCCGAAAAGCTTTTTAGGAGTGTTCATATGACCCGATGACCCGCTTAACCCGGATTACCAATTCAAATCATGAAGTTGGAGTAACTTTTTGAAAACCGAAAATTGAAATTGGTTTGCGGGTTGACATTTTATTGATCTGAGTTACTCGACCAACTCGAAAATAGGGTTAGAACCCAACCAACTCTACCTCACTTTTAAAACTATTATTTGTTGTAAAATGTTGGATAGAATTTTTAAATAATTAAAATATAAAAACAACTCAAAAATTGATTGGGAACTCTGTTTAGATTAATTTTGATTTTTATAACTTTCGGTTTTATCAAATTAAATCATAGATACGTGGCGTGGCAGTCGAGAGGATATACAATAAGGTCGAAATTAAATATATAAAAAATATCTAAACCCCCATGAAATTTTGAAAAAAGAATCTATAAAAGTAAATAAAATATGAGATTTATATTTATATTTATATTTATATATATTATGTTTAATGAGTCTGATGAACTTTCCAGAGTGGAGGGGAGCAGCTTCTTTTTTTTTTAATTCTTTTTTTATTTTCACGAGAAAAACAAGTACGCTCTGAACTGAGTTTGATTTTACATAAAAACGCGCCGTTTTGGGCCACTTTGGATTTATAATAATATCTTTTCTTTATAATATATTTCCTTTCTGGACGTTACATCATTTTGTCTCCCATCTCATAATATCACATATTTAAATCCCTTGCTTTCTAAATCTTTTCTAAAATTCATTTAATTAATTTAATTAAAAATTCAAATATTTTAGTAGCGGGTATAATTATTAAACTTGTACTGTTTCATAAATAAGAGCTCACACTAACCTCTCATAAACCCTAATTTAAACCCTTTTGAAGATGATCTTCATCCCATTGGCCGGCTCTACGATCATCCTATAAGACGGAGAATGACGATATTCCGGAGATAGTGAGAATCTAAACTTGGAAACTATCAGAGAAATAACGATCTTCAACTGAACCAATGCAAAGTTCTTCCCTAAGCATAGTCGAGGCCCTGCCCCAAATGGCAGGTACGCTTGAGGAAACTTGCAAGCCTTGGCTATGCCATTCACGAACCGTTCTGGCTTAAACTCATTCGCGTTTTCTCCCCATATTTCAACCTCTCTATGCAGAGTCGGAATCAAAGTCCATAAGTAGATACCCTTTGGAATCACCACGTTTCCTAGTCGCGTCTCTGAAAATGTCTCCCTCGCCACAAACGCCGCCGGTGGGTACAATCGCAACGTTTCTTGGACCACCATACTCACTGATTTGAGTTGAGAGATGGTTGTCATGTTGACACGACCGTCGAGGCAAGCTTGACCAAACTCAGACCGAATACGGTCTTGCCATTCGGGGTGGAGGGCGAGGAGCATCAAGGACCAGGTGGCAGCGACGGCGGTGGACTCATGGCCGGCGAAGTAGATACTCTTGCAGTTGTCAACGATGAACTTTTTTGGGGACTCATTACAATTGGCCGCTACGGTTGGGTCATTCATGGCGGCCTCCATTATGAGCTGCAAGAGATCCTTATCCGACGACGTTTTGGAGCATTCTTTTTGGCGTTGTTGAACTGTTTCCCAGATTAATGATTCGATCTCCTTCTCCAGCTTCTTGATTCTTCTGTGTTTGCTTTGTTGAAATAATCGGTCACTGTTCATAATTCATATTTTAATTTAGATTTTTATTTGAATTAATTAATAAATAAAAAAAAACAGAAAAAACGAACCTGAGAGAAACGTAGCCAAACAGGAAATTCCCTTCGCTAAGCAGCTTCTGAAGAACCCTAAGCTTGGAAAAAATCCGCTTCCCCTTCTCATACGAGCTCCCAAAGCAAGCCCTAGAAATCACATCCGCCGAGAATTCTCTAAGATCCTCATCCACGTCGATCTCCGCCGTGGCTCCCTCTCCTTCGCCGATCCTCCCCTCCCATTTCTGCAGCATCGCAGCCGCCGCCTCGGTCATCAGCGTCGCCATGACCCGGACCTGGTCCATGAAGAACTCGGGCGCTATGATCTTGCGCTGCAGAGCCCAGACGGGGCCGTTGGCTCGGACGATGCTGTGGCCCAGGATTGGGGCGAGCTTCTTGGTGACGTAGGAGGGCTTGCCCAAGTGGAGATAGTTGGTGAGGCTCAAGTCCTTCACCAGATCCACGTGGTTCGCGTACAGATGCTGCCTCGTCCCTGTCGAGTATGTGTATAATGGGCCTGCCAACCAATTTTAAGATCACTTTTGGGCCTCTTTATTTACTCATCCACGGCCCAGTCTTTTATCAACATTAATAAATATTATTGTATTATAATAAGAGATTTCTATTTATTATGAATAAATAAATAAATAATTACAAGTTTATAAAACTAGTAATATTAGCTTGCGTAACTAAATTTAAAAGGTTAGATGGTTTGATGTTTTTTTTTTTAATGGAATAAATTAATAAAAATAGAAAATATGGTTGAAAATTATTAATATTTTATTTCAAAAATATTATTAAAATTTAAAAATAAAATTAAAAATACCATTAAATTTTCAATAACTTTTAGATTTTTTTAAAAAGATTTAAAACCACCTAAAATTTTTTAAAAACTTCAAAAATAGTTTAAACTTTAAAAAAATAATGTTATTTTTAATTTTTTTTTTTAAGTTTAAGTACATGGTTGAACTTTTAAATGGTGTTTTTTTTTTAATAAAATATAAAGTTTATGGAGATTTTATTAATTTAGACTTTTGTATTTGAAAATTAAACCTATAAACCCTACTTATATCTATAATTTTTCTTCATTTATTATTTATTATTTACATATATTTATATATATATATATATATTAAAAAAAAGTAAAGTGTAGTCTACTAAAAATATTTTTTTTTCAATTTTTCTTTTTTGAAACGTTACTAAAAATTCAAATCTTATCTTAATAAAGATAAAAAATTATTATAAATAAATGACGAAAAAACAAGAAATATTTTAAACACTAAGTTAAATGAGTATCGAATATAACCGTATTTGCTATAAATCAAAAATCTCTACTCATAATATTATAATATTATTAAAAATTATTATAAATTTAGTAAATATTTTAATTTTGAATTATAAATTTAATATATTAAATTATAAGAAAAACAGAATTTAATTCAGGTTACAATTAGATTTTAATAAAACTTTTATAAATAGTCTTTATTTATGGACTATTTATGACATTTTTATTAAACTAGTAGAAAAAATTCTAACGTTTAAATTATAAATACAATATATATATTTTTATATAAAAAAAAATCATAATTAATTTAAATTTCATTGACCAAGTGAGACGACTTTCACATTTCTGAAAGCTCGGAAAACTTCAAACGTACAACACTATTTAATATAACATTTTATTATCCAAAAATTAAACTTTAAAAGTTAAAAACTTTTTTTTTTTTTTTAATGTTGAATAATTTTGAGAAATTTATATTTGTAAATTCTATTATTTATGTTAATGTTAACATTACATGATTAAATCTCTTTTCTTAAAGAAAAAATTGACACCAAAATATGCACAACATGAACACGAGGAGATTTAATTTGTAATTTAACAAAATAATAATAATAATAATAATAATAATAATAAAATAATACCGTATTGTTTCCTCCACTTGACGAAATAAGGGAAGAGAGTGGAGGTATAATCATGAGCAACAATCACCGACGCATGATGTGGCGGAGAAACCATGGCCGCCGCCGCCTCCAACTGGATCTCCTGCATCTCCTGCAAGTTTCCGTACAGAAGCGAGGGCGGCGGTCCCGTCACTCCCTGTGCTCGTAGCTTCCTCCTAATCTCCGCCGTCCTCCTCCACACTCCATAGTAAAAATGGACCACCACTGCCACCACCGCCACTGCAACGGCGGCGAAAAGAACCGACCCCAAACCGCCCATTACAACCCCCGTCTTTTTGTTACGCTCAATTGCTTGAATGGTTGTTGGTATTATATAGAAAAAGAAAAAGTCAAACGTGGGAGTGATGGAAGAGAGAGAAGGAGGTGAATGGGGAGTGAAAAGTACGTTGGATGAAAGGAAGAGGAACAAAACTACAAGCCCACTTCACATGTCATCTATTATGGTTACGAATGGGTGGTCGAGGTCTTATCGGCAATCACGTCAATAGTTTTACCCGGTTCAATATACCATGTTTATGGTCGAGTTAAGCTCTTTAGACTTGTGGACCATCAATGTGAGCTATCGTTTTTTTTTTCTCCAACATTTAATCATTAAGTATCATCGTCAGACTCACGATTTTAAAATGTATCGGCTAGGGAAAGATTTTCATACTTATATGTTTCATTCCCTTTCCTAACGGAAGTAAGATCTTATATTCTTCCTCTTTTTTTTACTATTTTCTTTTTAAATTATCTTTAATTTCTTTTTAACTTTTCTTTAAAACTTGATATTTTATTTCAAAAACTATCATAATTTTTTAAAATAAATTAATTTATATCTTGGAAATATCAGCGACTAAAACCTTAAATTAATTATTATTTTAAGATTTATTAATATATAATTCTAGCGTATGTTTAAACCATATTAATTACAAAAATTAACCAAATTACCTAACTAATTTTGAAGTAGGGTAATTTTTTTTTTTTTTTTTCAGACTCAAACTCTAATAAAATAATTCAATTTATAACAATTTTTCATATTTAACCCTTTTTATAAAGAGAATGCATTTTAACATATTTAACCACTTTAAAAAATTCCAATATTATTTTTAATTTTTTTTAAAAAATCTAAAAAATATCTTTATCTTTCGT